AGGCGGATCATTCGAGCTTAAAATTTATGCTTATTGACCAACACCATAGTGAAATACTTAAGAGTGAAAACTTTTGGATAGGAATGTTGTTGACCAACCGGAAAGGCCTTAATGGTAGTCATGATTTCGCCCAACAATAGTAATTTATTCATAATTTATTGTATATAAGTATGTTCTGTGTAAAGCTATAGGCACTCTGAAGAAGGCTGTGGCATGCAGCCGAAAATTTAGTTTTTGTATTTAATATACCTTTTTTTAATAAACTTCTTCAAACGTAGCCGTTCTGTTTGTTACATATGAAGTCTTGTCGGCTGAGCAGAGTACTGGCATTTGTCACATATACTATTCTACTTTACTCTGTCTCCATGGAGCGTTTCGAAGTTAGTTATTTATTTAACCGTTTATTTGCTTGCCGTGAGAAAGCAGTTCGATTTCAGCATCACGTTACGTTACTTGGGCGTTATTGAACATGTAAATGTATCCCGAAGGGTTTCCTGTTGAAATTTCATTCTGGTGTTGCTGACTCAGTTATTACATCGCGAGTTAACTCTACATTGAGGAAATGCTCAGTCAAACTTATGGGTTTATTTGAAGCATATTACAAACATAAAATCCCCTCGTTCAGTAAGGAAGAATGGGAACTCACGCAAGCTATTAAAAGACTTTATCCTGAAAAGGCCCATCACATTATGTCTAAGCTGGAAGAGCGGACTCGTAAATTGAAAGATACGTTTGAGATGTCACGTCTGAGAAAGTATTCACGAGATGGGCTGAGAACTGCAAGGCCGACAGCGAATAGCTCAACCTTAACTTCAGAGCCAATAAATAGACCGCATGGATACCAGCCAGTCAACCTTACAGATAAGAATATAGAACAATCTTTAGTTCAATTGTGCGGTCGTGGTCCTTCCTTTGTGCCTACACCCACTAGCATTGACTGGAATGAACTGCAATTAAATTGGATGGATTTTAAGAAAAAAGTTAGATGGCGTACATGGTTTTACACACCAGAGAAAGCACTTGATGGTCCCGAATTTGCAATTGACCCACTCGAGCCACCGTATCAGAAATCTGTAAAGGAACCACCTTTGGCCAATGTTCCAGCTATTGAAGTATTTTTGTCAAAAGTGGAAAAGGACTTGTTTGCTAAATCAACAGCAAAAGAGGTAAGCGATAATCTATCAGTGGAAGAACGGACAGCCCTAAAAAAGTTTCGTTCCACTCCTTTTGAAGAACGAGATCTTATAGTGAGATTACAAGACAAGAGTAACAATTTTGTATTTCTGGATAATAAACTTGATGCTGATAAGGTTAAAGAACAGATGGAGCGTGGTTGTTTTAAAAACGTAGGCTACGATCCATGGTCTGAGACTGGTTTAGAGATTGAACAATGGATAAACAAATGGCAACCTATGGGTTTGTCTGCTAAGTGGATTAAGTTCATTACTAACACTAATAACACACATCCAGGTATTAATTACCCTTTGATTAAAACTCACAAAGTTGACAATCCCGCACGGGTCATTACCTCGGGATGTAGTACGCCCACAGGGAATTTATCTTTGTTCGTTGAAAAATATTGTAAAATAGCTTTAGATTCTATTTCTTGTCGCGTCCGAGATACCACACATATGCTAGATATTGTGGATGAGCTTAATTTAACGGGGCTATCGGATGAGGATCTCTTAGTTAGTTTTGATATCACTAATATGTTCCCATCTATAGACAATCAGACGGGAATAGAGCGAGTACGTTGTAAACTTTTGCAATATGCTGAGGTTTTCGATGTGCCTATAGAGTGTGTTATTGAAGCTTTGGAAATCTGCTTGAAGAAAAAATGTTCCATGTATCGAGGGCAATATTGGCTGCAGGAAAATGGTACTGCTATGGGACCTAAGAATTCCTGCTCATATGCCGATATTGTCGCAGAAGAGATAGATAAAAAAAGTTCTGGAATCTCGTTCTATTTATCCTGAACTGAGATGTTGGTTTAGATTTCGAGATGATACGATTGTGTTATGGCGGGGTACCATGGAACGGCTTCAAGCGTTTTTTCAGGATCTCAACACATTCGACCCGCATCTACAGTTTACTATGGATGTGGGTGGGCGTAGTTTGCATTTTCTCGATCTTTTGATTTCCATAGTTAATAATCGTTTGGAAACTACAGTTTATAGTAAGCCCACGGACGCACACTTGTATCTCAATGCCAATTCGTCGCACCCAAAATCTCAAATTTTGGGTATTGCCAAAGGAGTGGCATTGAGATTGCGTCGCATATGCTCTAGGGACGCTGATTTTTGGGAAAAAAGTAGGATTTATAGGAAACGGATTGCGGCCACGACAGTGCACATGTCAATAGAGCCTTTGAGGTGGTTGGTGCTATGACTCGTGAGGAAGCGCGTATCAGTAGACGTAAAGTTCGTCGTAATTCCTGTGTTTTTGTTACCAAGTTTAATCCTAGTGCTCCTGATATTCAAAAAATTTTTCGTAAACATCGCTCTGTTTCAGATAGTGATGAACAGGCCAAAAAAATTCTACCGGAGGGTGCCATTCTTGTTTCGTATAAGCGTAATGCCAATTTGAAGGAGTTATTAGCACCATCTAACCCATATAAGCCTAATAAACTGGAAGGTGAAGGCTGCTACAAATGTGATGCCAAGCGCTGTGATAGTTGTGAGAACTTTTTGATTTTTGGCAATTCCTTTCGTGCAGCTGCCACTGGAAGGATATTTCTCATTTTAAAATCTTTGACGTGCACTTCCAGTAATGCAGTGTATCTTGCTGAGTGTGTGTTTTGTGGTTTGCAAGGTGTTGGCTCTACGGCCAATTTTAAGTCCAGACTAGCTAACTACAAATCACACATTAAGCATAAGCGCCGGACATGCAGTATAACAAATCATTTTATTGATGTGCATGAGGCGGATCATTCGAGCTTAAAATTTATGCTTATTGACCAACACCATAGTGAAGTACTTAAGAGTGAAAAATTTTGGATAGGAATGTTGTTGACCAACCGGAAAGGCCTTAATGGTAGTCATGATTTCGCCCAACAATAGTAATTTATTCATAATTTATTGTATATAAGTATGTTCTGTGTAAAGCTATAGGCACTCTGAAGAAGGCTGTGGCATGCAGCCGAAAATTTAGTTTTTGTATTTAATATACCTTTTTTTAATAAACTTCTTCAAACGTAGCTGTTCTGTTTGTCACATATGAAGTCTTGTCGGCTGAGCAGAGTACTGGCATTTGTCACATATATATATATATATATATATATATATATATATATATATATATATATATATATATATATATATATATATATATATATATATATATATATATGAGAAGCGCGACGTTTGAATTGCTGCCGCTAGACATCGCTCCAACGGCAACGTCCTCTGTCGCACCTATAATTATTATTATTATTAAAACTTTATTTACACACGGTATTCTCATCAGGATTTAACATGCAACAAACTAAATTAGATAAATTACAAAAGTAGAACCACGCTAAAGTAAATAGAAAATATAATACCTGCTTTTCATGAGGGCCGTGTACTAAGCTAATATAACAATATATACAAGGAAAGTTAAAATAATTTGGCACAGGCCGATCGGAAATTTATCAAGTTATTTGTTTGCCGTAGCCCAATCGGAAGACTGTTCCACAGCACCGCACCACTATAGCTAAAGCTATTCTTGAGATAGTTTGTGCGGGGCTTGGGAACAGCTAGTTTGTTCTCAGTGTTTCTCAGCGAATAAGGATTAACACTGTCACGGTTTACAAACATGGAATGCATGTAATCAGGAGCAAGACCATTTAATGATTTATAGACCATGACAGCTTTTTGAAACTGGCGCTGGGATGATAATTTTTTCCAGCCAAGTTTCTCAATTAAACCATCAGCATTAGTGTCATAACTGGAGAATGTTAGTACTCTTGCTGCACGATTTTGTAGTTTTTGAAGTTTTTCAGCTAGGGTTTTTTTGCAATTGTCCCAAACTGTGCAACAGTAATTGAAATATGGCTGAACCAAGGAATTAAAAATTAATTGCAATGTTGCGACTGGGACAAATGATCGAACACGTTTTAAAGCGCCAATACCAGAAGCAATCTTTTTTGTTAATTCATTAATTTGTATATTCCAAGATAGATTCTCATCAAGGGACACTCCGAGAGACTTTGCTTGTAAAACCTTGTCAATAAGAACCCCGTCTATTTCTAAACATGGAACTGATCGAAATGTGGCTATTCTTTGTCGTGAGCCAATTAGCATAAATTCAGTTTTGGATTGATTTAGAGTAAGCTTATTGGCGATAAGCCATTTGTTCACATTTGCAAGGTCATGATTAAGGTGATAATTTATGTCGTCAATATTGTTACTTGCAAATGTTAAATTAGTATAATCCGCGTACATTCGTGCTTGAAAGTGCTCAAGGCAATTTGGTAAGTCATTTATATACAGTAAAAATAACAATGGTCCTAAAATAGTCCCCTGTGGAATACCACAAAGTAACGTACGATTGTTAGAAAGGTGACCATTAACATAGCATTTTTGACTGCGGTCACTTAGATAAGACTTAAACCAATTACCCACAGCACCCCCAAGACCATACGCATTCAGTTTTGATAGTAAAATTCCATGGTTAACTGTGTCAAACGCTTTCTTAAGATCTAGGAAAACTACAGCATTAACTCGGCCTTGGTCAATGTTGTATGCCCAGCTATTGGTGGACTCAAGAAGCGCGGTGACAGTTGAATGTAGACTTCGAAACCCTGACTGGCTATTACATAGTAAATTGTTGTCAGTAAGAAAGGCATAGATTTGATCATAAATAATTCGCTCGAAAACCTTCGCTACAACAGGGATTACCGAAATTGGGCGATAATTATTCAAGTCCCTACGCTCACCGTGTTTAAATAATGGAATGACTTTTGAGCATTTCCATTCATCAGGAAAGATACCGGTATTAATAGAGCAATTGAAAATTACGGTAAGGGATTCCGACAGTAGGTCAGGACAGTAGCGAAGCAGCTTAGCAGATATTTTATCTAGGCCAGTTGCTTTAGATCTACAGAGTTTGTCCAAAAGTGAACACACCATTGATGAAGTTGTCGACTTCAACTCAAAAGTATTACCACCAATATGGCAATTGAGATATTCTAAATATGAGCAGTTATTTTCATCACAAGGTATCTTCTCCATAAGCTTAGGTCCAATGCTAGCAAAATGAGTGTTAAACGTCTCTGATAACCCTGGGGGGTCACTAACTGAAGAACCATTTAGTTTAATCTCTTTTACATGTGAATTATTTTGTTTTCTTGAGGTTAATTCATTAATAATACCCCAAGTTTTTTTCACATTACTCTCGTTTTCATGAAAAGCATTCATATAATGGGCTTTCTTCGCAAATTTAATTTCATTGTTCACAGAGTTGCGAGCTTACTTAAAAGCAGCCCAGTCATAAATATCTTTAGATCGAATAGCCTTGATTTTTAAAATATCTCTTTCATGCATATGTCTTTTTAACTCAGGCGTGATCCAGGGCGACTTAGAAAGTCTTACCCGCCTTGTCCGTAAAGGAGCATGCATTTCCACTACGTTATTAAAGGTCGTTTTCCACACACGCCACATATCATTCGGATTATTATAGCCCTTATGACGTCCCAATTCTGTGAAAAAATATCACTTCGAAAACTTTCAGAGTTAAAATTTTTAAATTTTCGATAATTTACTGTAGAATGGCCTTTATTGTGTAGACCGGTTGAAAGCTTACGGAATGCATAAATTAAGCTGTGATCACTAATACCGACATGAGAAACACCGGAGCAAACAATTTTATCTGGTGTATTGGTGAATATATGATCAATCATAGTTGAGGAAGTTTCAGTAATTCGAGAGGGTTCACTTATCAATTGATGTAAACCATAGAGCTCAGTGATGCCTATTAATGATCTCGAATTACTCTCTAAATCAGGCGACCCGAGATCACAATTTAGGTCACCCAATAAATAGTACTCGACATTTTCAGCATCAAGCATGTCAATAAATGTCTCAAAATAATTAAATTTATCAACATTCGAATTTGGTGGCCTGTACCATGACGCAACGAGAAATGGCTTAGAATTTGGTTTTTGAATTTGAATACATAGATTTTCTAAATTATCAATAGACATGTCTTTACGCTGTATGAAATTTACGCTGGAGCGTACATAAAAACAAACACCTCCATACGTTTTTCCATCTGCACTTCTAAATGCCCTGTCACGACGTATGATTTTGTATCCAGGTATATATACATCGTTATCGCTTATTGTAGAATTAAGCCATGTCTCATTTATTGTTAGGACATCGATCGGGCTAGTAGCAAGCAAAACTCGCAGCTCATCAATATGATTT